ATATCTATATCCATACCTGTATCCGTATATGCATCTATTATAACATTCTATATATATATTTCTCTCTCTCTCTCTATCTATACAGACACACAAAGATTGGATCCTGGATGGGTTTGCCCTGGGGCACTGCGTGGCAGCTTGCCAAATGGCAGGAGAGTAGTCGTCTTCGGAGCTGTAGATATCGACCTCTGGGCTTGACATTGTCTCCAAAAATGGCGACCAACCATGGGCCATTCGATTGGCAGAGTCAGCCACTCACCCTCAAAATAGGTTGTAACTGAAACCAAAGCGCGATGAACGCCCAAGCACTTCCAGAATGGGTTCCGTATTAAATATGACTACATCTCACCATTCTCCAATCAGCCTGAGACATTAACATATATTAACAAATATCAACAAATCAAAGGAATTGAACCTCCGATCTGCCGATCCACCTTCCAATGATTCCAATGGTTCCAATGGTTCACCAAGTGGCAAAGTGTTGATCTCGATCCTTGAAGGTGGCTGACCAATCGCCACCCTCCTCTGGCCTTAGGTAGGGAACCTATCAATGGCGGGAAGAACATGAACATGAGGCCCAAACCTGAATCTTTTCAAAATTTCAGAAGTCGCCGTATCAAACTCAGATCGGTCCCAGAACTCCAGAGCTCCACTGAGCTTCACTGAGCTCCACTGAGCTTCCAGGCATGATCTCTAAGGAATCCGATGCAAGGCACACGTCTTTCAGATGCCTGGCGCAGCACCAGGAACAAATGCTGACCCGAAGGTGAACAATTTCACCTTGTCCCACAATTCTTGAGTTTTTTTTTTCCGATGGTATCCTTAAAAAATCCGATTCTGCGGCGATGAACATCGCCCAGTCTTTCAAGCGCCAAGCAGCTTTACATCCACGTCCGGCAACTCGGTGGTACTACCTGCTACGTGTTGGACGTGTTGGTCAGTTGTTGAAAGGGCACTCTTCACCTGCATCAAACCCAATGAGACCACCATGAAGCTAGGTTGTACTGTACTCCAATTTTAGAGGTCGTTTTTGTGGAGTGCTTATCCCAATATCAAAAGTAAGAGTGATCTAGCTGAGAAAACTCTTTGGAACCACAAGAAGTGAGATCAAAATTAACTTCAAAATTACAACCATCCAAAATTCTTAGGTTTGCATTCCACATCACAATATTTTTCGGCTGATCGACACCTGGCACGAAGGGAGGCACCACGGCGCGTTCCGCCACACGCTTCCGCAGGATGCGACCTGCAGCGCGGGAGGAGGATGTCAAAAGATGGATAAGTCAATGACAATCCATGATATACACATATACATATACATATAATTAATAAGATGGGGATATTATTAGTTCAAATGATACTATTAATCCAAGAACACTACAAGTTATCATCAAAGGAAGTTTAGGGGGAGAAACTTCCGTGTTACGGACTTTTAGAATGTCAGGGAAAGAGTTAGTCAAAGAAAGAGTTAGTCAGGGAAAGGTTAGTTAGGGAAAGAGTTCATCAGGGAAAGAGTTAGTCAAAGAAAGAGTTAGTGAGGGAAAGAGTTAGTTAGGGAAAGAGTTCATCAGGGAAAGAGTTAGTCAAAGAAAGAGTTAGTGAGGGAAAGAGTTAGTCAAAGAAAGAGTTAGTGAGGGAAAGAGTTAGTCACAGAAAGAGTTAGCAAAGAAAGAGTTCGTCAGGGAAAGAGTTAGTTAAAGAAAGAGTTAGTCAAAGAAAGAGTTAGTGAGGGAAAGAGTTAGTCAAAGAAAGAGTTAGTGAGGGAAAGAGTTAGTGCTGGTGGATGAGTTGCCGATGGAATTCCATTGTGATTTGCAACTCTAGGATCGTTCCCTCACTGTAAATGGGATTGCAAGTGGTGCTGGTGGAGTTGCCGATGGAGTTTTGGAGGAAGTCTCGCACGAAATGCGTTTTTGAGAGATAGCAGATGCACGAAACCCTATGTTTTTCCATACAAAGTCCGTCCCCGAACCTCGATGATCTACCTCTGCGGTGCGACGGTTGCGAGACGGTCTCGTGTGTGGTCGGATCATGGGCGGATCATGGGCGGATCATGGTCGGATCATGGTCGGATCGGTTCCGCATTGTAAATGGGGTTTCACCTGTTTTTCGTGCATGTGCGGTCGACAGAATTCCATTGTGATCTGCAACTGTAGGATCGTTCCCGCAATGTAAATGGCATTGCAAGTGGTGCTGGTGGAGGAGTTGCCGATGGAGTTTTGAAGGAAGTCTCGCACGAAATGCGTTTTTGAGAGATAGCAGATGCACGAAACCCTATGTTTTTCCATACAAAATCCGTCCCCGAACCTCGATGATCTACCTCTGCGGTGCGATGGTTGCGAGACGGTCTCGTGTGTGGTCGGATCATGGGCGGATCATGTTCGGATCGGTTCCGCATTGTAAATGGGGTTTCACCTGTTTTTCGTGCATGTGCGGTCGACAGAATTCCATTGTGATTTGCAACTGTAGGATCGTTCCCGCAATGTAAATGGGATTGCAAGTGGTGCTGGTGGATGAGTTGCCGATGGAATTCCATTGTGCTTTGCAACTGTAGGATCATTCCCGCAGTGTAAATGGCTGCGTCAAGGTTGCTTCGTGCTGTGGCTGCATTGGTAATACTATTGTCTTTTGCAGCTGGACTTCGTAAATCGTATTGGAATGGCTGCATGAAGGCTGCGACAGTGATTTGTCAGCAGATTTTCTCCATTTTGGCGCTAGTGATTTTCCTTCTAAAAATCCTTTTCAAAAGTGCTTCAAAATCGTCTTTTTTTCGCTCTGGCGTCGAGATCCGGTTTTGGAGCTACAATTTCCGACGCCGTTGCGCGTAGTTCTATTGTGTTTTGCAACTCAGTCTCTGCAGATCGCATTGTAATGGCTGCGTCGAGGTTGCTTCGTGCTGTGGCTGCATTCGTAAGACTATTGTCTTTTGCAGCTGGATCTCGTAAATCGTATTGGAGTGGCTGCATGAAGGCTGCGACAGTGATTTGTCAGCAGATTTTCTCCATTTTGGCGCTAGTGATTTTCCTTCTAAAAATATTTTTAAAAAGTGCTTCAAAATCGTCTTTTTTTCGCTCTGGCGTCGAGATCCGGTTTTGGAGCTACAATTTCCGACGCCGTTGCGCGTAGTTCTATTGTGTTTTGGAACTCAATCTCTGCAGATCGCATTGTAATGGCTGCGTCAAGGTTGCTGCGTGCTGTGGCTGCATTCGTAATACTATTGTCTTTTGCAGCTGGACTTCGTAAATCGTATTGGAGTGGCTGCATGAAGGCTGCGACAGTGATTTGTCAGCAGATTTTCTCCATTTTGGCGCCAGTGATTTTCTTTTTAAAAATCCTTTCAAAAAGTGCTTCAAAATCGTCTTTTTTTTCGCTCTGGCGTCGAGATCCGGTTTTGGAGCTGCAATTTCCGACCCAGTTGCGCGTAGTTCTATTGTGTTTTGCAACTCAGTCTTTGCAGATCGCATTGTAATGGCTGCGTCAAGGTTGCTTGGTGCCGCGGCTGCATGCGTAATACTATTGTTTTTTGCAGCTGGACTTCGTAAATCGTATTGGAGTGGCTGCATGAAGGCTGCGACAGTGATTTGTCAGCAGATTTTCTCCATTTTGGCGCTAGTGATTTTCCTTCTAAAAATCCTTTTAAAAAGTGCTTCAAAATCGTCTTTTTTCGCTCTGGCGTCGAGATCCGGTTTTGGAGCTACAATTTCCGACGCCGTTGCGCGTAGTTCTATTGTGTTTTGCAACTCAGTGTCTGCAGATCGCATTGTAATGGCTGCGTCAAGGTTGCTTCCTGCTTTGGCTGCATTCGTAATACTATTGTCTTTTGCAGCTGGATCTCGTAAATCGTATTGGAGTGGCTGCATGAAGGCTGCCACAGTGATTTGTCAGCAGATTTTCTCCATTTTGGCGCTAATGATTTTCCTTCTAAAAATCCTTTTAAAAAGTGCTTCAAAATCGTTTTTTTTTCGCTCTGGCGTCGAGATCCCCGGTTTTGGAGCTACAATTTCCGACGCCGTTGCGCGTAGTTCTATTGTGTTTTGCAACTCAGTCTCTGCAGATCGCATTGTAATGGCTGCGTCGAGGTTGCTTCGTGCTGTGGCTGCATTCGTAATACTATTGTCTTTTGCAGCTGGATCTCGTAAATCGTCTTGGAGTGGCTGCATGAAGGCTGCGAAATGGATTTGTTAGCAGATTTTCTCCATTTTGGCACTAGTGTTTTTTTGTTGCACGTAGGTTTAGAGCAGTGGGAAGTGTGGGGCGTAAAGAGTGCAGTGTGAAGTGTGAAGTGTGAAGGAAGCAGTGGGAAGTGAGAAGTGTGAAGTGTGGAGTGTGAAGTGTGCAGTGTGGAGTGTGAAGTTTCAGTTTGGAGTGCGAAGAGCGCAGTGTGAAGTGTGAAGTGTGAGGTTTGGAGTGTGAAGGAAGCAGTGAGAAGTGAGAAGTGAGAAGTGTGGAGTGTGAAGTGCGGAGTGTGAAGTTTGAAGTTTGGAGTGCGAAGAGTGCAGTGTGCAGTGTGAGGTGTGGAGTGTCGAGGGAAGGACACGGTCGGGACAGGTTGTCTTTGAACTATAGGTCATTTATTTTTGGGAAACTTCCGCCGCCGGTTTGCCCGGGTCTATGTTATGATAATCGAAGGAAGTTTAGAAGTCAAACTACCGACACTCTTGTACTGCGCCTGCCACGCGAAAATGCATCTTTGCAGATCCTCTTCACATGATGTTTTGTGCATTTTGACTTCGAAACGTGCTTCGCGCCGCAACGGCGTGCACTTTTTCAACAGCTCAACTTCCAAAAATGCTCCGAACCCGTCAGTTCTTAACACTTCTGACTTCGAAATGTGCTTCGCGCCACAACAGGGTGCACTTTTTTGACATCACAACTTCCAAAGGTGCTCCGACCCTATGTGTTTTGTGCATTTTGACTTGGAAACGCGCTTCGCGCCACAACGGCGCGCACTTTTTCGACATCTCAACTTCCAAAAATGGCCCGTGCATGGTGTGTTTTGTAGACATGTTCTTCACAGATGTTAGGAGGTGAGGGCGCTGATTTCATGAGAGAGGTTGCATTTTGGAGCATCCGATCTTCAGGTTTGCTAAGGTGATTTTGCGTGACAGGTGCAGCACTTCGTTCAACCTGGCCTTATCTTTTCGTGGCAAGCACGGTACTTTAGACAGATGGAGTGCAAAAATCTCAAAACGCATTGGTATGAGGCCGTCAGCTCTGCACTGAACTTTCAATTTTTGAAGGAAGTCTCCGAGAGTTGCTTCGTTTTTGATGTTGTCAACTTCGAAAATTGAGGAAGTCTCGCAGAATTGTTTCGATTTTGGCGTTGTCAAGTTCGAAAATTGAAGAAGTCGCGCAGAATTGCTGCGCTTCTGATGTTGTCAAGTTCAAAAATTGAGGAAGTCGCGCAGAATAGTTTCGTTTTCAAACCTGTAGATAGACAGATAGGCAAATAGATAGATTGATAGATAGATAGACAGATAGATAGATAGATAGATAGGCAGACAGAGAGACAAACATAGATAGACAACTACAACTACGGCTACAACTGCAACTAAACTACACTACCACTACCACTACAACTACAAATGCATACATGCTACGCTACAGTACGCTAATCACACTACACTACACCAATTACACTACACTACACCAATTACACTACACTACACCAGTTACAGTACGCTACACTAGTTACACTACAACTATAACTACAACTACAACTTCTATTACTACTACAGCTGCAGCTACAACTACACTACATTACACTACACTAATTACATTACACTACACTACCCTACACTAGAGTACAACTTCGACTACAACTAGACTAAACTACACTACACTAATTACACTACAACTACAACTACAGCTGCACTACACCACACTACATCCAGCAGTTGTGGGTGAGGTGACCACTGCAACCATTGCGACCATTCCAAAAACACACAACTCCAACCACCTTTCGGCCCATCAGTGGATTCCCCCTACCATCCACGCATCAGAACAACTCACCTTTCCTATAGTGTCCTATCTTTGAAACTTCCGACACCGCCTTGTGCAGTACTACTGGTATGATATCATATCATATTCCCTTGACTGGGATAATCTATGATAATCCCCATGAAAATTGGTGGGGATTCTCATATTGGATAATCCCCATTAAAGCTGCACCCAGAACCACGGGGTATGGATGAAATGTGCTACGATCAGCTCCAGGAGCGGCCCCGGGTTGAATGAACTGCGCTGTCCCAATCACGGCGGCTGCACCGAATGGCTTCAACTTGTCTTGGTATAGACTTTCGATGCACAGAAGCACCTATGCAGGCGATCTGATTCGTTTTTAGCCTACTGATGTGTGGCGATCCCCAGCTCTTCAAACACTGTGTGGCCATTGTTGTGTTATGTAATTGGGCTTGGCATTAAATACATCTTTCGGTCTGTGACAAGCTGGACACCCTGCTGGACACCCCTTCCAGGGCTTCTGTGATTGGCAATTGACTCACTCAACATTGGCTTCCAGCATGTTCCTATCCGTCGCGTGCCCAAAAACATAGCTACCCTCTAAAAACTCGAGCTACGGACAGCTGCCATGTGTAGCTTTCTAGTTGAATTTCCCATGATTAACCTTCCATATCCATTCTGGTTGGTGGTATACCTACCCCTCTGAAAAATGATGGAGTTCGTCAGTTGGGATGATTATTCCATTCCATTCCCAATATTAATGGAAAACATAATCCAAATGTTCCAAACCACCAACCAGCACTTAAGAAAATAGTAGCTTTTCCCCATGGGGATTTTCCAGCCGAGTTTTTTTTCGGCTTCCTGTTCTCGGCCTCATCATGCTCCGGTTTGATGCCTGCACCGAGATGGAGTTGAACAGTGGAACCCAAACCTATGATTCTAACTTGGAAAAAAAAATGCTAAGTTCATGGATGATAAGATTTTAATAGATATTAATAGATATTCATAGATATTAATAGATATTAATAGATATCACAATATATTGGGCAGTATCACCCACCGGAGTTTTGGAAACCGCTGCTATCACCTTGGGAACCACGTCCACGTCGCTTGCTGGGAACAGCCTGAAGACGCAGCAGATGGCGTGGCGCTTCTGTTTGGGTTGAAAAATCATGCCAAGGTAACACTTCTTGATCGCATAATCCATACACACATATCATATGTATATACAATATATATATATGTACATACATATCTGATATATCATGATATAATCCATATATACAAAGCATTCCCAAGCAAGTCCTATGAAATCTTCCAAAGCTGGTCAGGTCGAAATGATCGGAACATCTCCGTTTCGATGGGCTCCCCGGACCTTTTCGTCACTGGCCTTGGCAGGAAATTGGTGGTTTTTCACCTGCCACCAGTCCTCACCAAACTATTCAACATGTGCAACATGTCAATGAGTGTCAATGACTGTCAATGTATATTACATGAGGCTTCTTGGGTTCATCAAAATTGAAACCCGGTGAAAGATTGTACAAGTTGTAGAATGAGTTGTACAATGTTACAAACTGCCCGTGACTCCAACACTTTCTGCTGTTCAGCTCCTCCCAACTTCGTGCTACGGAACAATTCTGAGCGACGTCAGACGTCCCGGTGAAACCCAGCTGTGGCTGTTGGCTGCCGTGTGCGTGTGTGGCAAGGCCACCAGTTGCAAGCAACACCACGACTGCAGATCGTAAAACTAAAGATGGTATGTTTGTGACCCCTGAGATTGCAGGAACTTCGAATCCATGACAAGATGGGATGACTGACCTCTGAAATGAGTAAATGGCTGGCAAGTGTGTCAGCCAAAACCGTATTGCCTACAAATCCCTATAGTTTGTGGGGTTTACCAACCATCGACTCACTTCAGGATCCATCCCTTTCACCAGTCAGTTTCTGCGGCTGCCACATGTGGAACGACTGCTACTGCAGAGCTCATGGAGGACATCTGTTGACCCAAGTTCAGTCGTGCACAGTTAGTGCACTTTCGCACGCCAATGCCCAGGGTTTAAACATATGATTTCTCCTTTTGGGAGCTGGGAGTGGTTCCCCAAAAAGATGGAAACACCTCATCAAAGTCGTTTGAATAGGACTAGAAAGGGAATTCATGGGATTGCACCATGTTCTCGGATGAACTCCCTGTAGGTTGCGATGGGTTGTGAATCAGAAACTGATGCGGGCATCGGGCGATCTTGACAGACTTTGGGCAGCAACCTCCATGGTTTACAGACTGCCTGCAGCATCAAGGCACAACTTTAGCCAACTTTACAAACTTTAGCCCCTGCCAGGGATTTTCAACGTGGAGACCCAACCCGGAACCTTGAAACCGGGGAACCCGTTTGACAGTTTGACAATTCTTTATAACTCACAAACAGAACACCCAGCGGCCAGAGCGTCTCACTGGAGTGTCCAAGCTGTCCAAGTAGCCGACGATTAGGGTAAAGGCGTATTCATTGTTGTGGGCCTCTTCTTGAAGGTCCAAGTAGATTTGCTCCTTGGCCCGAAAATCATGCCGCCAGCCATAAGCAGTGGATGAAGGTTGTTAGGCTGGTGTCATGATGTTTCATGATGTTTCATGATGTTTCATGATGTTTCATGATGTTTCATGATGGTTCATGAAGATGGTAGTGGCAAAACAAATTCAATCAAATTCAATCAAACTCAGGCGAACCTTCTCGAAAAGTCTCACCTCAAGGCCTTTCCGTCTGCGTCCGGGGACACATGGTGTCTAGCGCTTTTTTCATGATGGTGGGTACTTATAGGTACTTCCTGGTTAAATGGTTGGTGGGACTGTAATCTTCTGGTATCCCCATCACGACGCTGTCCAGCCCGAAAGATCTGGCCACAACTCACCCAGAAAAAAAAGTGGCGGACCGTGCTCTTTTTGCGGGATCAGGATCAGGATCGATGTTAATCTCAAAGCACATGCGGATTCTCTCCTGTGGCAGCCACTTCAGGGGCCTATCACTCTTAATGTGGAAACCGTAAGTTCGAAAGTTGCTATTGTGCTGGCCTGTAGTTCCTGTGAGTATCCCAAAAATTCTTGGTCATTCTTGAACATCCATCATTTAGGCACAATTGTGACCACGCCTTGATCTTCTCGCGGGTTTCCTTGCGGGGCCGTCGACACTTCTTCTCGGAACTGGCATAGGAATGTCCGAATTCACAGCCGTCCCCGCGCCAGCAGCCCTGGGTTGTGGCGAAGAGGATGCAAGGGTTCCTCAGCGCTGCTTGGAAAGTTGATTTGGGTGCCATTAAAGAAAATAAAGAATGATGAGGAATGGAGTGGATGGGGAAATCTAGATGTTTCAGTAATCTGCATATTTTGTCTGACAATTCCATGCTTGTTGATGCTTATTGTTGGTTCTTGGGCGCACCAATTGTGGAGCATGCAGCATGTAGGTGATTGGGCATTCCAACATCCTGCTGAAATCGAAAGATCCTATCAAGAGCATTATCCTGTCACATGGACCATGGGTCCTCGTCATTCTTGCCCTTGTGTGTTTCCGAACTTTCGCTATCTCTCCAACCTTCAGCTCAACGGCTCGTTCCCCAACTCCCACTTGCCCAAACAAATCGTTGGTCCTGCCTACTTACCAACTGGTAAATTTATTTGTTTTAAACTACATAGATATCACAAAGTTTGTCTAAAAAGAGGGTATACCCCGACCTACAACCCATTGGGCCATTTTCATAGGCAGATTTCTTCCAACAACCCCTGCACGGATAGCCCCCAGTGATGCTTAGTGTCTTTTTCTTTGCTCGGAAGTTTCGTAGCGACTCAGGCAGCGGTGCGGGTGGCGGTTCTAGGGCTCCGTCCCGATGCGCCGAAGATGCGGCCACGAGCGTCCATGATGGCAGGGGCAGGGGGAGGCCCGGGGGGCGAGTCAGGTTCATACTTGCCCCAACTGGGAAGCCAACTGGGGAGCCCAACTACAAATGAGGCCTCTGAAGCACCCCAAAACTTGAGCCACACTTGATCGCATTGGTGATCTTTTCCAGGGATAAACCTTCTATGTAGGTGTCGACCATGGAGGTGATGCGCAGAATGAGGTGATTCACAAGCAATTGACCTATGATATTTCCAGTATAATCCCATCCCCATAATATTTAACACACCGCAGAAACCATGGTTTAGTGGTGGATTTAGACATATTTGGGTGTTGAATACTAGGGGGATGGGATTACCCATCATATATTCAGCATTACAAATCATTACTACTTATCATGTCTCATCATTATAAGATATTTTAGTTTTAATTTATAAGATTATAAGATACTAGAATTACCAGCAATTTGAGTAACTATACGGATATCCAGTATGTTTCCATCTGTAGATCCCCCACCTCGCGGCCACCTTCCTTGTCGCCCCGGCACCTGGAACATGGACGAAAACTCTGAAACACTGGAAAGGATCAAAAGGATCAAAACACAACATAATTGCAGCTACTTCTACTTTCGCTGAAGGTCAAAGAGCCAACTCAATGGGGTGACCTGATGTGATGGCGTCCGCAACGAGAAACCCGCCCCCCAAGGTTCTCACATTTGGGTTGCTGTGTTTTTACGAGAGTTTCAGCATCCAGCCATCCAACCACTTTTTCATCGTAAGAAAGTCTCTGCTTTCCATTTTCCAAGCATTTCTCAAAGCCACTTTTCCATCGGTTTCGCAGCGCCAAATATCATGCGATATGCGATGAACGCCTTCCGCCACGGCGACGCCCTCCAGCCATCGCTTCTGCCTTTCTGCGCCTGGCTTTCAATGGGAAATGATGGGACCATGATGGAAAAAATGTGGAGAATGTGGGATTTCTTGGAGATCTTCTGGTTGGTAATCATACTAATCATCCGCTTGGAAATCAATAGATAGACTGCAACTGGGAAATAAACATGGTGTGCTGGAACATCCAATTGCACATGTTTCATCCCAGAGAAACAGTCATGCGCGTTTCTGCCATGTGTTGATATTGATGGGTTTCATCTGATGGATATTTCGTGGTATTTCACTCATGGAAACGAGGTAGATGAGGTAGATCATAGCCAAGGCTTCAAGGGGAATCCATATCGGGGGAGATCTCAACATGGGATGGTTCCCCACATCCCCCATGGATGGTAAACAAAAGGATGAACTGCATGGGACTGGTTTCAATCTCCATTTCTGGTATTGGGGATGGTTTACAAGTGGCTTTACCACGCTAAGATTGTTGTTATTGTTATCTTCTCAAGCATTGTTCTTCTTGTTGTTATCATTATCTTGCCACGCTTATTACTTAGTGTTTAATAATGGTTTTCCAGTATTACTATGACCTCATTGACCTTGTCGAACAGTCTAACATCCTATTTTCATCGGCGTGCGCCTGGGTCGCCGATGTCTGCCGGTGTTGTCGCCCCGGAGCCGTTACGTGCGATGGTGAATGGTTCGTGACATCCACCAATGGTTGGTGAATGGAACCAAACATTAGCGTTTCCAGACAATCCACTTTCCAGGCTATATCGAGTGGGGTTCAATGTTATTTGATGTTAATTGATGTTAATTTCTAATTCCTTTAGTTTTCACTGGTTCTCAGTCTCCACTGGTTGGTGGCCTCACCCTCATTGGCGATATGCTTCAATTCAAACTGCTTCTATTCTGTCGTTCATGGGTGAGGGTGAAGGAGGGTGAGGGTGAAGGAGGGTGAAGCTCAGTTTGGAATTCAGAAGACCATTTCTGCCAGAACCTGTACTAACGCAGAAAAAAACTCAGCCGTCTCTGCCAACTTCCTTCAAGGGACCGAACTTTAATGTGCAGCTGGCCACGATCTTTATGTCTCAATGATGAAATAAATGATATGTCTTAATAATCCAAGATGAAAATAGCTGAAAGTCTCGGCCATTTGGAGATGATTCCCCGAATCGAATTCCTTCCCATCATTCCAGCGACGTCTCATGATCAAATTTATCCAGATGAAATGCAGTGATCTGAAAAGGTAGCGTTGCCCATACATGAGACTTATGAACCACGGGAAAAACTGGTAGATGATGGTAGATGGGTTTAATCCCATTGAACGTATCGGGATTATCATCCAGAAGAGGTACAACAAATCTTTGAAACACTGGCCCTTCTACTTGGCTCCTAGAAGAGCCGCTTAAAAGGTCGGACCTTTTGTCACCGGCGGCTGAGGTTGCTCGATGACAGGCCGCTCTTTAGGAGCAGCGGGTGGTGATGGCAGCGTGGGATACTCCATGGGGAAACCTGCAGTGCGGCAATTGATGGACTAAGGATGCAAGATGACTCACCACTAACTCCAAGGGCTTCCCAAGCAGCCAAAAATCAGGTACTTTTCAAGAATTGGGGTTCTGACTGGCGATATTCTTCTGAAGACAACCCAGATATCATGCTCCTGAATGCTCTTGGTGGGATTTCCACTTTTGGAAACTGACTGGCATGGCGGGTTTGAAATCTGGATTTCACAGCATATGAGTCACCAGGGTGATGTGTGTGAGTTGCAAATCGCAACATTCCCAAGTTTGTATTTGGAGCTTGCTTGCGCTCATTCAAGAAGTCGTGACCATGAAGCCTGCAATAGGGGTGTACCTTTTTTTGATATAGAAACATTGGACCTTTTCATGACTAAACTTAATTAGCTACTCTTCAAACAACAGCAATTTCCAGTCGGATAGGTGTGGTTTCAACCTAAAAAACACGACTGTCATTCAGGATCAGCAATGAATGCTCAAAAACAGAAGCGTATACCTTCAAACAGCACCAGCATATTGTTGATAAATAGCCGTTAATCATGAGAAACTCAGTGAGCAAATCATCCAGCACGGCTTGATATGGACACAATGACACCAGATGTCACCCCGAGCATTCAGCAGGAATATCTCCATAACAATCACCAATTGAGTGAACACACACACACGTATATATATATATATATACACATGATATACATATTTGTGTACGTATTGGCTATATCATCCATCCATTTATCCATACATCTGGATGAATTATAATGACATCACTGTGAAGTCACTGGAATGATGGGCCGAACCTTTCAGCTATTTTCAGGTGAGTGAGTTACCATAATTCAGTCAGATTAATAGTCAACTATGTTCAATGATCTATCTCTGTCAGTTAGGTGTAAGTATCTGAAAAGATCTATAGTAAATATCTGTACTAATACATGATATGCTGCATGATATGCTTGATACATCGCTGGACTTATCCTCCAACCTCTTCCATCTGCACTCCGCGTGGTGGGAGGCGACATCTCCTCCGGTAGGGACCTGGGGCAGCAAGGTGGGCTGAGCCGGTGAAGAAATCTGTAACTAACATCTCAGCATCTCTTGTTTTCATAAGATTTTAGTTGTTGGATTTTTTCTATCATATCATTTTACACTGAGACGCAGCTGGAAATGGTGGTAAGAATGCAAAACCATGGGAGTCTTTTGCAAAGCTCTCCACCAACTCCCAGCTGGAACCAACTCGCCGAGGGTTGAAATCGAATCGCCTCGCCTAAGCTCATCAGATTTATCATACTTATGCACTAGTTAATCTTCACCATTTCCCAACTGATCTGTCACCATCAAGTTGTACGTTTCAACTAGCCACAGTACGCAGGGCTGGTGAAATGTCCCATTGCAACATCACCCTGGCCGTGGAATTCCAAATCCGGGCTTTATGGGCATAAATCTCAACCACATTTGTCGATGCTTGGTAATATCCCCCTTGTTGGTTGTATCCCCATTGCTCAAACAAATCAATTTTTAGCTGGGCATCATATTCCCCTTTTGAAAGCAAATAAAACCATCAATCTACCCATGGCCCCGTCAGGAATAAGCGTCAGTTTAGAACACCTTATATAAAAATGGGTGAAATAACATTGGTTTCAACGCAAAACTTCACACATGGTGCCGATTAGCGGTCGAGCCACAAACCACTGTGCGATGCCAGCAGTCGGAGCTTCTCCTTCGATGAGGGTGAATGGTTTCAGGTTATTCCAATCACATGAACTCATGGACCCCATTTGTATCCCTGAGTTATTGCATATCTCAAACATCAACCAACCAGAATTTATTGGGATATTGAGATGTATTGAGATATTGACACGGTGATATTCGGGTTCCATAAATCTTCATACATTTATTAAAATGATAAATTGGATATTCATCTTTCCACACGTTGTTTTTTTGTTTGGAACCAGTGCTATTTGAAGTTGAACTTACAAACTATTCACAATTTCATCCAAGGTTTTTTCATGATCCAGCTGGTGATAAGACCCTTACAAATGGTTGTTTCAACCCACAGGCCTACCCAATATATATATATATTATATTATATATATATATTATATATTATACACATATATATATTATAATATATATATATAATATATATATAGTATAATATATATAATATAATATATTATTTATATAATATATATATAATATATATATAATATAATATATATATATAATATAATATAGTATAATATAATATAACATAATATAATATAATATAATATAATATATATATAATATATATATTATCAAACAATTGATACCAACACATTCTTCGTATGATTTCCACCCGTTTACCAGGTACCATGTTTGTACATTGATGACTCAGGGAACCATTTTTTTTTGGAGACCAAACCTTAGTCATTTCACAAGCCAAGAAGCAGTGGGTTTGATGAAACCCTCTGTCGTGGCCATATCTTCTTGTAGTTCTCCAGACACTTCCTCGGCTCGAAGGGGTCAGGTGATGGTGTGATGGTGCGACAGTTTTCTCAAGGCTTCTTTGTGGCCGAGCCACCAATACTTTGCCTGGTCATAGTATGTCAAAATGGCGGAACAAACCAAATCAACAAAATGATGAAAACCAAGGATGACTTCATGGCGATGGGGTCGGGTTTGTTGCGCCCTTTTGCAAAGGTTTTGCAATCTGGGGAAACTTGACGGTCTGTTCATAAACACTAGGGCTGTTGATTTCCATACATATAGCTACCCACTATTCACAGTTGCGTGTATACATATAATTACAGAGACACCCCATGGTTGTTGATTCTGTACCCCAAAAAATTATAGCATAATTTCAATTTCTACCAATTATCGTCATACATTTTCTACCATCAACCATCAACATAGCCAGAATCTTCCGATTTTTTCCCACTAGCACACACATCTATCACTCCCTCTCTCTCTTGTTTTTGTCTAAGTATATATGTATTGTATACATATCCATATACCACTCATATACCATTACATATCATTAAATATCACAAAACACCAGTAAATACCTACACACACACACACCAATATATATATATAAACATACACACATAATTGCATATAGACATATATAACTGTATATATACAGTGTATATTTTCATACACAGTTTATAATATATAACAATATTACACAGTATATAACATACCCTCTGGTAAACTAACATAACTATGGAAAATCACCATGCTATTAATGGGAAAACTCACTTTTTTGACTGGGCCATTTTCAAGTTCGCAAACTGTTAGTTTACCAGAGGGTAATGTGAGCAACATCTCCATCCATCTCAGCGTCCGGCAGCGGTGCCACCTGCTGCAGCAGCTGCGCGTCCAGCGACGCCTCCGTGGCCGAGGCCTCGTAGCGCCGCGTCGCGCCGTCGGCGAAGGTCACAGCGAAGCCGCGGCGGGTGCAGCGCGCCACGCGACACGTGCCGAAGGCCTACGGGCAGAGCCCAGGCTGGTCGCATGGCGAAAAGATGGTAGATAAGCCCAATCATATTAGTACATATATATATACATACATACATATATATATATATTGATCATGTCTGTAAATATGGGATGACGAGCATACATCCCATCAAAACTTGGGAAACGAAGTCGTGGATAAGTTCATGATGAGAGGTGGGAAACTAAGTGAATAAGTGAAAGGCTCAGAAGACACATGAAGACTACATCATTTCCAAATGGATGGTGGAGAATTCCCATAATTATGGCTCCTAGTTCCTAACTCTGAACATCCAGCATTTAGTTCGATGATTTTCCCAGCTATAAAACCTCCATTTCGGGGATTTCCCCATGATCCCACCTTAGCAGCTCCCCGAGGGAAGCTCTGCAGCACCACCGTGTCTGGCGGCCGGCTGAGGCGTGGCACGAAGTGTACCGTCACGGTGCGCGGAGTCGAGACGCTCAGACTGCCGTGGCAGCTGCCTGCGGTGTAGAGGAGGTCCAGGTCCAGGTCCTGGGAGACTCGGGAAATCTTGGATCCCTTGAAGCAGTGGCTGGACCTCAAGGGCCAAGTTGGGCATTTTTTTGCGATCACTCCCAGATCTGATACAAATGATCCCCAAACAATAGGTTTCATCCACCATCCCCAGCTCATTTGCTACATCGACTCTATATATCCACCAAGAGTATACCATTTTTTTGCCATACAAACCTTATATCCACCAAGCATGTTGCCTTTTTTTAGGTGGATTTCCTTCCCCACGGCTGACTTCCCGCCTGCGGACCGCTGAATGAGAGCTGGAGAATCATCCCTGGCCAGGAACGGGGAATCTCAAAATCAATAAATGGTGGGGAATCGGATGGGGAATATGGGGAATGGGAATGAAATGGAATGAATCAGCAGAATCAACCAAACTTGGGCATCCTGTCATGTTCCTCCAGTGAGGAATGAGCCGAATGTAGCTGGTTTCAGTGGCATGCCCACCCTGCACCTCTTTCAGTGACCTCTTGCAGCCTTGGCGAAGACAGAAGCTGGAAATCTGAGAGTTTTGAGATGACAGTGTTAACATGTTGTAACATGTTGTAACAATTGTTAGATCTGAAAAGTATACCGAGTTTCTCTTCACAGAGATGTGTCAGTAGACATTCTAATCACGGCAATGGATTCCATGACGGGTGCTCAACCAGACGAAATCATCATCTGCACAATGACCCTACCGCGTTGTCGACATAATTTCCACCTTAATTTGCAGATGTTTGGATCTCTCCATACTGTGGATGGTTGCGAAATCCTGCACCAGTTGATAGATGGTAAAGGTGTAAACATCTTCTAAAATAATCCCTTTCTAGCCCCAGTTTTTCATAGGAATCTCAATAGCTTTGGAACGCCAAGTAGCTGCAACGTCCAGGGTGCATCACTAGGACACAGGTGGATCATCTGCGGAGTCTGCGGCAAGGCACTGTCGAAGCGGACAAAGCCTGGACAAGAAGGAAAAACAAATGTTCCGCAGTTTTGAGAGGCCATGGATTACACCCTAATCCAACCTGGGAAATGTAGAGTCATTTCTTACGTTCCTTATAGATCTGATTTATATATTCAAATGAGTCCTTTCTTTGTATTGATTTATTTCTTCGATGACTTTTTGAAAAAATGTGGAACTCACAGTGGAAATTGTGGCTCCCTGCCTGCCACGAGCTCGCCAGGCCTCAGAATTTTCAGCCCCGGAGTATCAGCGTTGGAGTTGGAGGTTTTGCCGAGTTGCAGCTTCTGCGCTTCCCAGAGTTTGTCCTTCAGAAGTCCAGTGGTGCCTCAGAAACTCAGGGCACCATCCTTTTTAAGTATGTAGGGACCTAAGGATGACGATTTACCCTGAATGTAGCCAAAAAAAATCCGGGAGAGTTTCTGAACCATCTTTCCCATCCTCAACCAGGACCCCAGGAGTTGATCAACATGCCGAAAGAAGAACCCTAAACCCCTCTGTCAAATATGACCTGCAAAATCCACCATTTTTACTGGGTCAAATCATCATGAACTCACCATTTTTTATCCCATAACAGTTCCATCCAAACTCCAGTTGAAATCATAACATCACCACAAAACACGATAAAATCACCATAAAATCCATTAAATCACCATAGAATCCCATCATTGAATCAGCATAAAATCACCATAACATCACCATAAATTCCATGAATCACCAGAAAGAATCATCAAATCCCTATGAAAATCCCTATGAAATGCCCAACTTCAGCTCCACGCGACGCGTTTGCTCCGCGTTGACGTTGCAGACCCGCGCGGCGGCGTACAGCGTCACCGGCGCCAGCGGCAGGTCGTGGAGCCGCGCAGCCCAGGCGGTACAGGAGACCACCGGAGAAGCGCCGGGCCTCACGGCAGGATTTTGATGATCCAATGTGAGGATTATATGTTTTGTACATACTGTGTATAATGGAAATATAATATTATTGATTGTATATATATATATATATATATGCATGCATGGATGCATGCATGGATGGATGCATGTATTTACTAAAACAGATGTGATATTTTTGATGGTTTGAAATACTATCTGGGGTGTATATATTGTAAATAGTATGATTTATATGAGGATTTCGATGGGCTTTATACCTGTATAGATGATATGCCTGGAGCCAGCGGCCTCAACAACAGCCATGTTGACCGCGATTCTTGCTGAAATCTATGCTATATGGATGATATTCAAGAGTAATATATCTATCTACCTACATATATAATACGTATATCTATATATGTACATGTGTTGATGTTGAAATGAAGGAGAACTTTGATCAATGTTTCCACGGATACATTCATCATTCTAGGTTTGATACGCTCACTATCATTGAATATGTATGAATGAATGTACATCTACATAGAATACATGGGGGGTTTCCTAAAATGGGGAATCCCAACACCATAGGTTAATCTATACCAACATGGTCTAATGACTTGGATGTAAAAATGGGGACCATGACTCAGGAAACAGCCATATGGATATGGGGAGATCCGCGATTGTCATCAGTATCTTCATCTATAACATCTATATAACATCTATATAACATCTATATAAAATCTGTATAACATCTACAACATCCAAAAAATATCTATTGGGTTCCTATCTGTTTCTATTGGTTACATCACCTTTCGCGACCCATTTGCAGTGAGGTGCTTCATCAATTCTCGTAGTTCAGCCTCTGCATCTGCCAGTTGCACCTGGCGAACGTTTGGAGCCGCCAAAACAACATCTGGTTTCCAATATCAAAACATCGAAGAGCCATCAATAGTCAAAAATCATCAATCATCCTCAGCAATCATCAATAATCAACTATCATCCATGAGAATCAATCCATAGGTCCATATCATATCCATAGGTCGTGCTATTCGAAAATTGTGTCCAGCCGGCACCGAAAAATCAACATCCACTCGGATGCACCTCAATCTCTCCTGCAGAATGGATGGACTTCACTGCAGGGTTTTGTGAAAGGAGGGCCATAGGCATCATAGGCTGTATGCCATCCAAGGTCAATCCACATTGGCTGTAAGTGGTTGGTTTCTACCTGCGATCCAAATGGATCTTTGGATCTTTGGGATGGAAGTCTACCAACTTAGAAAAACATATGACGCAAATACTGACTGCAGCATGTACAGGTTGAATTCCCTTACCTTCTACTGCCCACAGATCAGAGAATCTTCTTGGAAAGTAACATGGTACCTTTAAGACTACCTACCACTCAACTCTTAATTCATCAATTAATCACCCCCATCTGGCAGTGTCAAAACCATCAAAGGACAGCAAGTTCATTGCTACTGTCTTTTTCTCATCTAAATGAGCTGGGGACACCCGTTCTACTCAGGCTTAGCTGGGCGCTTTCCAACATCTGTGTATTCTACAGGTCTGTAAACCGCATGAACACTGGCCATAAAACCAAGGTGTCAACTGGCCACTGACCCGCTCCTTTCAAGGCTTCTTTCCCCATAGCTTCCTTCAACTTTTGGCACTCCTGCGATGGAGCAACACCTAAATTACAAAATGGGCTGACCCAGATTTGGGTGGATAAAAGCAACGGTACTTGGGAAACGACCAACAAGATTGGTCCATTTATGTAAAGTATAACCTCCGGGAATTTAAGAGTTTGCTATGGAAAATGGTCCGTTTTTAGTTGATTGAAATTCATTTACCTCTTGAAATGGTGATATTCCACAGCTAAGAAATTACCAGAGGGTTATCCCCAATGATTTCCCATCAACAGGAAATCATCAGATCCTCCGTCAGCTGCAGAAGCTGTGCATCTTTCGCGATCCGACGCCAGGTGGGTTGCCTCGCTGTGGGAATTGTGGGAATTTACCATCCGCATCGAAAGAATTGTGGAAATCCCATTGAATCCCTATGAACATGGGGAACATCATCTCTCTATGGGTGATTTTTGCAGGGAAAAAACCCTGTAAAAACTTCCAAGACGTTCAATATGGTCTTTGATTGAGAATATATTTGAGATTTGCTCCTGCAAATCCTCCATGTTTGCCAATTGCAGCTTTTTGCCCATCACTTCCAATTTCCTGGCTTTATCCCACAGACCTGAAACCAACAAATTTGATCCACGGATCTACAATCACAAACCATCCCCAAATTGTCGTGTATGAACTAAGGTACAAGCCCGCAAACCGGATGATTGACCTCGAAATGGTTGATAGTTGGGGATTGTTTCTGGCGATCCTACTCAATTCTTATCCCAACAATGAATTCACGGATGATACTCTCTGGTAAACTAACAGTTTGCTATAGAACATCACCATGCTTTATGGCTAAATAAACTATTTCAATAACCATTTTCAATAGCAAACTGTTGGTTTGCCAGAGGGTATACCGATGAAGCGTGACTTTACATTTTTTTCAAAATCAGAATGATTCATCACCATGAAAGATGAGACACAACTCAATTTTTCTCCATTTACTTGCTGCTTAAGAGGGCAAGTTTTCGCCATCTTTCGGAGAGTTTACCCAGTAAACATCATTAAAACTCATGGATTTGACTAGAAAAGTCACAGCAACCTCCGAAAACCCATGAATTTGCCTCGCAAAATCCACGCAAATCCATCCAAATCCTATCATTTTCTCCCATCTCGTCCCCTTTTTCCAAGCGTCATGGCCGCATCACTCCATTGGAAGCGCCACATCTGTCCTGCTAAGGCGTCCCGCACGGCCAGCAGCGGTGCCACATGAGCCGTGCCGCCGCGGGAAGCGACGAAACCCATGGACTGCTGGAGCTCCACGGCAAAGCTGTAGGGCATCTGCCTGGGGGTTGGTGGTTGAAGATAAGCAACATCCAAAAATGGCAAATATGGATTCAACATCTGGGAGGAAAAAAAATAATATATATATATATATACCAGTAGTACCGCACAAGGCGGTGGCGGAAGTTTCAAAAATAGGAAATCTATAGGAGAGCTTGGTTGTTGTGAATCACGGATGGCAGAGCGAAGCCACTGATGGATCGAAAGGTGATTGATGTCTCCTCTCTTTCTCTCTCTCTTTTCCTCTCTTTCTCTGATTATCTACCTACCTACCTACCTATCTATCTATCCATCTATTTATCTATCTATCTATCTATCAATCTATCTCTCTCTCTCTCTCTGTCTGTCTGTCTGTCTGTCTATCTATCTATCTATCTATCTCTCTCTCTCTGCCTATCTATCTATCTATCTATCTAATCTAATCTAATCTAATCTAATCTAATCTATCTATCTATCTAGCTGTCTCTCTACCTATCTATCTATCTATCTGTCTGTCTATCTATCTATCTATCTATCTAGAATCTAGCTATATCTATCTAGCTAGCTAGCTAGCTAGCTAGCTAGCTAGCTAACTAACCTGTCTATCTAACTATGTGTCTATCTATCTCCCCACCTACCTATCGATCTATCTATCTGTCTGTCTGTCTATCTACCTGTCTATGTGGAAGCTTGAGAACGTAGCAATTGTGCGAGACTTCCTCAATGCTTGAACTTTGAACTTGACAACATCAAAAACGAAGCAATTCTGCGAGACTTCATCATTTTTCAAAGTTGACAACATAAAAAACGAAGAAATTCTGCGAACTTCCTCAATATTTCAACTTGACAACGTCAAACACGAAGCAATTCTGCGAGACTTCGTCATTTTTCGAAGCTGACAACATCAAAAACGAAAGAGTTCTGCGAGACTTCCTTCAAAAATGGAAAGTTGAGTGCAAAGCTGACGGCCTCGTGCCAATGCGTTTTGCAAACCTGAAGATCTGATGCTCCAAAATGCAACCCCTCGCAGGAAATCACCGCCCGGACTTCCTAACAGCTCTGATGAACATGTCTCTTGTACTGTGCCTGCCACGGAAAATGCATCTTTCCAGATCCTCTTCAAATGTCCCACGCCTGGCATCGTTTTTGGAAATTCTACAAAACGCTCACGTTTTGCTCACTTTTGACAAGGTCCACAATCCCTAGCGCCTGCCACGCGAAAGCACATCTGAACCTCCAAAAGTGGCCCGAACATGTGGTGTTTTGTACATTTTGACTTCGAAATGTGCTTTGCGCCACAACGGCGTGCGCTTTTTCGACATCGCAACTTCCAAAAGTGATCCGAACCCTGAGCCAAAAGCTTCTGCAACTCAACTTCTCTGAGCCAAGGGCTGCTTCAATCCAACTTCTCTGAGCCAAAGGCTTCTTTCAACCCAACTTCTCTGAGCCGAAGGCCCCTTTAACCCTACTTTCTCTGAGCCAAAGGCTCCTTCAACCCCATTTTCTCGGAGCCACAGGCTCCTTCAACCCAACTTCTCCGAGCAAAGGATTCTTTCAACTCAACTTCTCCGAGCAAAGCGTTCTTTCAATTCGACTTCTCTGAGCAAAGGGCTCCTTCAATTCGACTTCTCTGAACCAAAGGCTCCTTCAACCCAACTTCTCTGAACCAAAGGCTCCTTCAACCCAACTTCTCTGAGAAAAGGGCTCCTTCAACCCAACTTCTCTGAGCAAAGCGTTCCTTCAACCCAACTTCTCCGAGCAAAGGGCTCCTTCAACCCAACTTCTCTCAGCCAAAGGCTCTTTCAACCCAACTTCTCTGAGCCAAAGGCTCCTTTCAACCCAACTTCTCTGAGCCAAAAGGCTCCTTCAACCCAACTTCTCTGAGCAAAGCGTTCCTTCAACCCAACTTCTCCGAGCAAAGGGCTCCTTCAACCCAACTTCTCTCAGCCAAAGGCTCTTTCAACCCAACTTCTCTGAGCCAAAGGCCCTTTCAACCCAACTTCTCTGAGAAAAGGGCTCCTTCAACCCAACTTCTCTGAGCAAAGCGTTCCTTCAACCCAACTTCTCCGAGCAAAGGGCTCCTTCAACCCAACTTCTCTCAGCCAAAGGCTCTTTCAACCCAACTTCTCTGAGCCAAAGGCCCTTTCAACCCAACTTCTCTGAGCAAAAGGGCTCCTCAAACTCAACGTTTCTCGGCCAAAGGCCTCTGGCAGCAGTAGCGATCTCCTGCCATCAACCTTTGCATCACCTGCTAGAAGTGGCTGTGGTTTCAATTACCCCCCAATCCTCCCCCACATCCATCATCCCCACCAGTGGTGCTCATCAGCCCCTGGGGCCCACTGATAGGTCAGGACATGGGATCACCAAACAACCAACCGACCAACCAAGCAACCAAGCAGCCAAGCAGCCAAGCAACCAAGCAACCAACCAAGCAACCAAGCAACCAAGCAGCCAAGCAACCAAGCAGCCAAGCAACCAAGCAACCACCCAGCCACCCAGTCACACAGCCACCGAGTCACCCAGTTGCCCAACCAACCAACCAGCCAACCAAGAAACGAACGAACCAACCACCAACCCAACCAAGCAACAAACCAACCAATCAACCACCCAGCCAACCAACTCACCAACCAACCAACCAAGCAACCAACCAACCAACCATCCAACCGACCAACGAACCAACCAGACAACCAACCAATCAACCAACCAAACAACCAACCAATCGTATAAAATATTTTTCCATATCACAACATGCGTTGTTTCTTTTTTTAAATAAGTCCTTCTATTTCTATTCTTTTTTGTTTTAATCATTACTATTCTTATTATCTTTGATAATATCATCTTTTTTAAACTTTAGTCTATCAGGCCGCTCTCACGGGTCACGGCCTTGGCGAGGCCGTGCAGATGCGGTAGGGAAGACTTTCATAGTCGATCGGGGGCCACCCATTCAGTATATCAGAGTTAACGGCCAGCATTAGCTAAAGATTAAAGTAATAGGGTATGGGCTTGTATCCAAATTTGTGTGAAAAGTTTCATAACCGATCGGGGTCCGCTCACATAAGAGAAATCGACAATATACATATGATTTGGATTTAAATCCCCATATTCGTCAACATATGGATAGATGATCATAAAACATATGATTTTGAGCCCTTCCCACTAGGCAACCATTCATGGTCACGTTAAAGCTGCACACCCTGGTGAAGTGCCGTCCTGGTGGCCTTCAAGAGATGAACCATGTATAGCTATGTAGTCATATATCATCATATGTAGATAGTTGGGTATATGATCTATCATATTCCATCTATTTCTATCTATTCTCTAGTGCCTCATATTTTTTTTTACGCCGTTCATGTCATGCTTTCCCATCCACAAAATGGGCTGTCATCGGCCGTGAAGTCTTCATAAACCCTGGTCTTGCAATGTTCAAGACCTTCTGCCATCCCTTAATAGTGGTTTCTTAACAGGGATTCACATGGGCCAACAACGAATTTGAACATCCCAATCTCCTGGCTCCCGTGCGTTCAGCGGCAGTCGGGGCAGAGGGCCCTGGGGCGAGAGTTTGTAAGGCATCGGAACAAAGGGGGCGCGTTTAGATGCTGAGGGCGCTGCATGTACGAAGCAAAGGGGCGACCAGGGACCTGACAAGGAAAGGCTGAAGGGTGGCAGGTTACTGGTGGTGTTGGGCGAGGTTGGCCGGGCCTCCGCCAACCCAGCGTTCGGGTTCAGAAACGACCTGGCAGGACGGGAGGGAGGCAACCTACCTGGTTCCTAGGGGGAAACCTCCTTGCCTCTCGCAGTTATCGCAGACACGAATTAGCCGATTTGCTCAAACCTGGGCAAGCGAGGGAATGGAAAACGTTTTATGACAGCGACGCAGACACGGGGCTGAGGTTTCGACCACAGCTCCCGACAGACGTCGGGGTTGAAGGCGAACTTCAAGGGAGGGTGGACGAGCAAGTGGTTTTCAGCCTGAAAAGAAAGGGAAGGGGG